ATAGAGTGAATGAGAGGGAGCTGTGAGATAGACATGTATAATTCTATCAAGGAGAGTAACAATGAAATGCTAACACATGAAAAGGGGTGAAGGGAGCACCAGAACCTGAATATGGAATTGGTAGTCTCAAAGTTCAGAATATGGTGTTTTCTTCCTTCATACAGTACATCTATTAGTCAATAAAAACCTACCAGAACTATATGGGAAAGCCATGAAGTAAAGCAAGTGTGGAAAAAAAACCACGAATCAACGCTGGTGGCTATTAGTTTGTCTATTTTCTGTAACCCACATCTTTAGTGGACCAGCCCTGTAACAGTTTACTACTTATATTTCAAGAACTTCTTTCCTTCCAGAAGCAGCATTCTGGTTATGGTTTTTTTATTATTTTGAAAAATCATTTGTTTAAAAAATATATTCAGCAATTCCCGTTTATTTTGACTACTTTAAATATAATTGTGTTATTCACAGATGATACTACTCCTATGCTTTAAGTGCTATTACACTCTGGAATTTAAGATGATAGTTCAGCTTTGCTGACTTGCTGTGTAAGCCAAGTACCATGATAGGACACCTGTATAAGAAAAGCTGAGAGGCTAGCTGCAAGGGACAAGGACAGGGGATGCTATGGCTGAAAATTTTTCTGCATTCTGAATTCTTGTGTCCAGTTTCCAGGGTGATCAAAACTTTCCTCCATCTCTGGGTAAATATATCTTTACTGGAAAACTTTCATCCTTCTAATTTCAAAATACATGAAAAAAATAGTATCACCAAACCAATTGGCCTGATAGAAGAACTCATGAGATACTAAAACCACCATTCCTTTTGGTTTTCTGGCACCAGTGGTCTCTTTTACTCCTCAGAAAGTGCAAGCCTCGTTGATAGAAAGCACTAGTGGATGAAAATGGACATGGCCTATGGGATCTGTGCACAGGTATGCGTTAATTGTAGAAGGAGCCAACAGTGCCTATTTGTATGGAGCCATAGCACAGCAGATATCCCTTAGAACTATTCCTGACCGTGAAGAATTTTGTCCCTTTTTTCACACCTCTAGGCACAAGAGGTGCTGTCAGGATTTTTTAAATAGCTACCAGAGTCACGGACTGAATATTCTGGAGTGCATTCTTCACTTTTCAGTTCAGTAATCCAAGAATTCAATTGTAACAGTAAAAAAAAAGTTAAAAACTAAAAAAAGAGCAAGGGGCGAGCGTTACCAAACTTGTCATCTTCCTCCTAGCTCTAGAGGCAGTTGAGGTAAGCAGAAAATTTGTCTACTCAGAGACATTTTCCCTAATCAAGACTCTAACCCCATGCCTTCCTCCCTTCTATCCCTCTTATGATATACCCACCCATTCCCAGAATAGGAGTCCATCTCTATGAATTATGAACTTTTACTGAATTTATTTCCCCACTCTAGTACCTCAACTATATATCCTGGATCTCCCAGTTCCTCCTACCATATAGCTCTGCATCCAGTTCCTGCCTTACTGCCCAAGTCCATCCTATTCTCCTCTTGCTGGAAGCAGAAATATTAATCCTGAATGAGTTCTTGAGTGTACTTAGCCCAGACTGCCACTTGCAAACTCCTTTCAGCATGCAACTACTTGTTAAAACAATAGATACTTTTTTTTTCTTACAGCTACGTAGACATATACAAAGCTCTCACAGAAGCATGCGTTGAGGCTGGTCAGCCTCAGTGGGAATCTCACGGGCTGTCCCCAGCCTACCGAGACAGGCGTGCGGCAACCCTTTCTGTGCGAGTGTGAAAGGGGAGGCAATAAAATTACAAGGTTCTTTAAAGATAACAGCCATTTTGTCCCGTTTTCCAAATCTAACGACTAACTGTTCTTGTCTTCTTAATATTATCTTGGTATGAATAACCCTTACTGTTCTTGTTTTGTTTAACACAGTTCTCTTGTACTTCTGTTGCCTTATAGGTGCACGCACACGCACACGTCTACTACAAAATTTCCTTGTGAGATCTCCATGAGCTAAGAAAGCACTAGAGCCACCAAAGACAGAAACTACTCTATGATGACTAGGAACTCTGTACCGATATTTATTCTTGCCATGATGCTGGCATCTGTGTAGCTCCGTGTCACACAAGTTCCAGCTGTTTTGGCCTGAAATAAAAGAGAATGTAAACTTTGTCTCGGGCTTGACACTTGTGAGAAAAGGATAAAGCACTCAGATTGTCTCATAGGGTTTTTACTGATACTCAGACTGGTAGAAGCCAATTAAGGAGGACCAGGTCAGATACCAAGCTGATGAACGCGGTACAGATGGCTACGATAACAGATAGCCACCCATGAAAAAGAAAGCAAGTGCAATGAGAAGTGAACCACAGGCACATAGGTCTTTGCAAGTTTGTCCAATTGCACTGTCTCTTGAATCCCTCATCTGTTTAAATAAACAAATCAAAATGCCGATAAGCTGAATAGTAACTACAAGACCTATTATGCACGTCAGGATGAGGGACTTATTAATTAATGCTGGCACTTACCCATGAGAGGCTACTGAAGGATAAGAGTTATTTGAGAGTTTTTATCAGCTCATCTATACTAATTCTATTTGTTTGGGGAGAGAGGTATTGAGCACTTGAAATTAATGCTGCCATAGAGCTTGTATCTGAAGTGGCAGGTCGGAGTGGGGCAGAATTAGCATGAGGTCGGTCGAAATACTGAATCCTAGTGTGTGAGCCACACAAAATCAATCCCAAGGTCCCTATAAAATATGTCAGTGCCATGAAAAATGCACAGCATCTTTCTGCTTCTTTCTGTGTACTAAATCAGAAGCACAGGCGGTTCTGAATGCGTTTATTTCATCCAGGGATGATGATGTATTCAGCTTTGAGAACGAACTCAACTCAAACATATTGCACAGAACATACCAGGACAAACCCCTCATGATCCAAGTGGTGCCAAAGGGGCAAACACAGATAATGAAGGAAGACCTTGGGTGAAGAGTACATGAGCACACTTGATTGCTAGCTCTTGAAGGAGGACCTACAGATACTAAATTTACTTGGTCTTGCTTTGCATGTTGTGTGTAAGTCTTAGCTCTCTTTTTGCTGTGGTGTGCAGTTCCCTTTCACCTTGCATAGCTGACATTCTGAATTTTGGTAAAATGTGCTTGAGAAATCTCAATTATGCAAACTATTGAAAATACAAAACTTCACCACCTCCCATGAGTGATCACCAGGAAATTCAAAAAAGCGTGAGTGGATTTACATCTTGGTCTAAACGGTCACTATCTTTTTTGTATTAATAAATGTGTTTAGCCACATGTGTTACAATAAACCCATTCATTGTGATTGTGATGTTCACATGCTTACACTGAAACACAACTTTAAATGCTTCGCTGACGAGGCATGGGCTAACAGATGCCGGCTCTGTAATTAGTTGGCCCTGTATTCCTAGCTGGCAACTGCAACAGACTTCCCTACTTCTGAGGACCAGGCACTAATGGATTTTGATCATCAAATGAGAAGGTTCCTACAAGCAGCAAAACTGACTCAAATAACAGCTTCACCCCACAGACAAGAAACTGAAAAGAGATCCTATCCAGCGGGTCCCAGCCTGGGACCGCAAGGTAGACTTGGTGAAGCCTGCTCAGAAGGCAGTCTGTTAACATGACAAAACAGAGAGCCTGTGGGTCCAGAAAACAAAATCTAATCACCTAATTTTTTTATTCTCTGGTAACATTCTGCAAATGTGTCACTTGCTTTTATGGACAAGATTCTTTTTCTACTGTGAAGGTACTAATGATGCAATACAGTCTGAATTACTGGAACGCATCCGAGCATAGAAAATCTGTTGTGAAAGCAGGAACATCTCTTTCCTTAGGCGCCTTCATTTAGTTGAGAGGCATACTTCAAAGTTTACTTGTCACCCCTTTAATTTCTTTTAACAACAAATGCAAAGTTTGGTATCGATGAAATATGAAAGTAGCACAAATATATTTCACAGAAGATGTAGCCATTACAAAAATAAATAAATAGAGTTCAAGCAGCAATCTCAGCTCATTATACATAGGAAATATTTTTCTGTTTCTCTTTAAAGGGGCATCATCGTCATGAAGTGGATGTAATGATTTCATTATGAGTACCGTATCCATTAAATGTAGCTCTTTTTTTTCCTAGCAAACTTCTGTTGATGTGGTTTGATGCTGATATTTACTCCTCTGAATATATTCCTTGCTCACCATTTTCATAAAACAGTGAGGTAAAGAAATTCCAGCGTACGGCTTCTGGCAAACCATTCATTTTAATTATATGTGGTTATTTATTCATGGGACATGATCAATCACCTCAGTCCCATCAGTTCACTTTTTGACTAAATCACCGAGTATTTTTAAAGAGAAGAATAGCAGTAGCAAGGACAATACCTCCAGAATGCAGTTTCAGAAGAGTATTCCTGAGATGATACATGAAGTAAGTGTTATTCAATTTTAGGAAAAAATGATAAATATGAGCACACATCATGGAGAAAACTTACCATGCTTATTTGCATGAAAAATTAAGGTCACTTTTGCTGTTATTTAAGCATCTATAGCAGCAAGCCATTACTGCTTGTATTTAAAGTAATGTATATGAGTAATATCAAAACATACTTCATTTAAAGAAGAGGCGAATTAATATTGCTTCTGGATCTTCCCAGAGTTTGTACGCTCTGATTTTTCTACGTAACTTTGTAGCAGTGTTCCACATTGCTCTAATTACCAGGCTGCAAGGTCCAAGCGTTCCCAGTCTGACACGTGGCTCTGCAGCGTGGATATCTCGCCGCTGACTTAAATGGGGCCATGGCTTTTCCTATGTTCCATGATAATATCAGGTAGGGTAGTCGGAGCTGGTATTTGGTTAAGACTTTAAAGTGCTGTTATTTTTAAAATAATAGTCAGTTTTGGGGGGGGGGGAGGGGTTGTTGCTATACAGACTGAAATCTCCAGCCTTCTCAGAGGAGGTGGTATACCTTGGTAACAACGGGGCTACGCTGGTTTACAGCTTGTAAACAGAGTACTTACTTAAACTTTCCAGTATGCCATGTTGGTTCGCATGAGTAGAAGCAAGGAAATGGCCTGTTCACCTGCTTTCGCCACAAAGAAGTTTAGGTTTAGGAAAGACTTCTACCTGAATTTGCAGAGTTCTCCCAAATACCGTAGTGTTACTCTGTTAATACACTGCCTTTCATCTCTGGGAGACGGTTGCTCTCTCTTGAATTCTAGTCATCTTGTTGCCCTTCACGTCCTTTTTCATTCTTTACAAAACTTGGTTTCAGGCTGGCCTAAGCTGACTTAGAAATAGCTCTCTTTCTGTTGTCTGGTGAAGTGGGACCTATGATAACTTACATACATCCTGAGTTTATAGAGGAAAGACTATGCCGTTAATGTTACCCATTTATCTCCACATTTCTGCAGGTTTTGGAATGACCACACCAGCAACTGTGGCTGGAAAAGTATTCCTCATTGTTTATGGCCTTTTTGGGTGTGCTGGGACTATTCTTTTCTTCAACCTCTTCTTGGAGCGTATTATCTCTCTCCTGGCTTTTATCATGAAGGCTTGCCATGAGAGACAGCTGCGAAGAAGTGGTCTCCTACCTCCCAACTTCCGAAGGGGGTCAGCTATCTCTGGGGTGGGCAGCCTCGTCGGGTGGAAGCCATCCGTTTATCATGTGATGCTGATCCTGGGAATTTTTGCTATCACACTTTCTTGCTGTGCCTCAGCAATGTACACAGCAGTGGAAGGATGGAACTACATTGACTCCTTGTACTACTGTTTTGTCACCTTTAGCACCATTGGCTTTGGAGATTTGGTAAGCAGCCAAAATGCTGTATACCAAAATCAGGGATTATACAGATTCGGAAACTTCCTGTTTATATTAATGGGGGTATGTTGCATATACTCTCTTTTTAATGTAATCTCAATTGTAATCAAGCAAGTTTTGAACTGGGTGTTGAAAAAATTTGAATGCAGATGTTGCCCAAAGTGCCATAAATCAAGTGCCCGCCTTGGACGTCGCAATGCCATTACCCCAGGAGCTCGCCTACGTCGACATAACATCTCTATGGAAACTGATGGACAGTACGACAGCGACACCGAAGGGAGGAGGCTTTCTGGAGAGATGATTTCTATGAGGGAGCTCACGGCATCGAATAAAGTCTCTCTGGCCATTTTGCAAAAGCAGTTGTCTGAGACAGCCAATGGCTACCCAAGGAACGTTTGTATCAATACAAGACAAAATGGTTTTTCTGCAGGGGTGGGTGCTCTAGCCATCATGAACAACAGATTGGCAGAAACAAGTGATTCTAGGTAGAGTTTTTGAAGTTTTCTTCTATAAGAAAATGATGCTTTCTTATTGTTTCTTTAATAAAAATAAAATGGTGATTAGGGTGGAATTATCACCATAAACTCCTGGAAAGTCTTAAATTCAGAGAGAGACTTGGTATTCATTGGACGTTTCGCAGTTTGGCTTCCAGGTTTTTTTATGAGTCTTCTCTAATATGCAGTAACATCTTAACCATAATGTTACAGTTTTCCCCATAGGTTGTGTTGGGAAAGACATGGTGCGGAATTTGATGCAATTTTGAAAGAATGGTGTGCATGGCTAAGAGGGTGTCTAAACCAACATACTCGTCTACAGAAAACAGCCTGAACCAAACTCTGGGTTAAAGCGCATTCTGGGAAAGTTCAGTTCCAGATTCAAGCTTGAGGGCTTAGGGCTGGCTAAACCCGTATCTCACAGTTTGGCGAAGGGTGGATCTGGCCCTGAGCTTTGTACTTAATGCTCCTCACCAACTCCTCATGCCAGGCCTGTATATAACATACATGTAGGTGACTGCAATTACACCATCTTTAGGGTGATTGTGCTTCACTTGAATACTACTACTGATTTCAATGGTGGACGATCAAATTGACTTAATTCCCCTGACGATGAATGAAGTTTTTCAGCCAGTCTTGTCTGAAACACTACCTGCTACCTGACTTTTGGAAGTCAGGGAGTTATCAGTTAGAACGACCACGTTAGAACGTGCAAAACTATTCCCACCTGCTGAGTAACTGAAAACAGGCAATTGTCAGCGTCAGTACTGTCCTCATTCAATGCAAAGAAGCCAGTGTTCACCTCTGATGTCAAATATTTGTATTGCCACTAAAATGTAAGTTAAAGGTTTATTTCATTACTTTTACATGAAAGTAAGTTATTAAAGTGAATGCAGGCTCTACTGTCATAAATTTGCATCTTCAGCAATATTACTGCAGAGGTTCATGCACGTATTTTCTTTGCAGTTCTTGGTGGCCCCCAGCACAGTACTTGTTTTCGACAAATCTGGTAGTGAAGCTTACAGGAAAGAGCATTGCTTCAGAGCTCCCCCAGAAGCCGACTTCTTCCCAAACGTTGATAGTAAATCATAAATTTGCCCATGCTACTGTGTTAACTCGTATCTACCCTGTGTTAGCCCAGACTGCTTAAGAACCAGAAGACATCTTCAAGTATAGCTGGTCTAAGTTTCTAGTTTATGACAAATGACTGCAGAGGAATTTCTGCAAATCTCTTTCAGAAATATTTGCAAAGCTCTAGGTCATTTCCCTAAACTCTCCATACTATGCTACTCCTTTAATGCTGTGAAGGTAGTAAAAAGCCTTTGGCTGATTTCAGTAAGAAACACAGTCCAAGCTTGAAGTCTGAGAAACCATGGTGGCCTATTCTTGAAGTGCTTGGCTAATTAGAGGCAAGGTCATGACTAGTAGGTGGACTGCTGACTAAACTGAAAAGCTGGAATATTGGAAAGGTTTGAAAATATTTCCGTGAAGTTTCATACAGATATTTTGTTACTTTGTTTTGCATGGGTTTGGGGTCTCCACCATTTTGCTTTTCTTTAAATTTGTAGGAGTGCAAAATGTTTTGGAATTTAACCGTGGAAGATTAACTTTTCATTCGACAGCCTGAGGTTTTGCACACCTGAGACTGCCAGCTGAAGTATAACATAACGATTATATCTTCTGTCTAAAGGAAAAGGAATTGGAGCAGTAGATAAAACATCATACAAGGATCTGCATCATATTGTAAATGCAGTCAGCGCCTTTACCAAGATAGGTGTGGCAAAAAACGCTCAGTAATGCATGTGGTCTGTACGATACAGAATTGTAATTAAGACTACTCAAGAGAAAGCATTCAAGCAGCATTCATCTGACAAGAGCTTCCTTCATGACAGAAAGACCCCCTAAAGAGCACGCGTCTGCATGTGTGCACTCACTGTCTCAAAGTCTACTTTTTAGTAGCCCTCTTCCAGAGGTGGTGGAGAAGTAGGTAAAGGTCAAACCGGTGGGGATCCTAAATTAAACTCTACTGAAGGTTTAGTTTGAACTGGATCTATAGGTCTAGGCCCTGATCTGCGAAAGACTCACAAGACTGAGCGCAAAGACTCAGTTCAGGAAGGCTGCTTCCAGAGCTGCAGGGACTGTCTTTGGAAACAGACAGCAGAGGCAGGACACTGAAAGAACTGAAGATGTTCCTCTTCCCTCCCGGATTACCCCAAGGGGTAAAGCTATTTATTATTATTTATTATAATAAATTATTATTATTATTATTATTAGACAGGCTCCATCCCGGTTATTATTTATTATAATAAATTATTATTATTATTATTATTATTAGACAGGCTCCATCCCGGAGGACTTAGAGTTTAAATAGATAGGACTCCAAAACACAGCAGAATTACTTAGGTTCTGTAGCTAGGTACTTAGGTTTATTCATTTCACTCATAAAAACAAGTTAGAATATGTTAACATCCTGTGTTCTCAAGAACTATATTTTTGTGATAACATTTGCAAAATAGGGGGATTTATTTTTTCAGTAAGATTTTTTAAAGGATAACTATTATAACTATCCTTACGGACTTATTTAAATATTTGTAAATTGTTTTCAAACTACCTATATTCCTGTGTGCAACATGTGATGAAGTAATATGAAACTGTACATACCTCTGCTGCTATTTCTGTGCTTTTTCTGAGTCAATACCAAGGCAGACAGTCTACTGCAACATGATTTAAATACTTCTGCTTTTTTTTGTCTTCATCTGATCTGGATTGTAGACTGGATCCAAGGCAGCAGCATGGCAAGACCCTTTGCAGTTCCTGTTGACTTCAGTGGGAGCTGGACTGGCTCCCAGAGCCGGGTTCCCCAACGGATTTGGGCATCTGGTTGCTACTCTATGCACTTATGTCTGACATTTCATCACTCCCAAAATCCTTGAAAACCTCCATTCTGCTGCTTCTTAACCTCAGAGGCGCGCAAAAAAAGTACATGCCCGGATTTCTACCCGTGAAGTCGGCTCGATGCCCCTGTTTCTTGCAGTGCAAATATCCCCAAATGCTGACACCCCTCAGTCATGTGGACCCCATCTCATACATAAGCCCATAAAAATTCACAGAGCCATCTAGCTCAGCAAGCCCAATTTATTGTGGGTTTCAGCGCATGCTACTGAATTGGGTCTCACTGGAGAGCTTCTGACGAGGAGTGACTTTACAGTTCCCTCCTCTTCATATTCAATAGCCAAAGTATTTTTCAGGGACACATGAAAACCAACTCAAAATCCCTATTTACCTGTCTAATAGCACAGCCTGGGCACCCGTCACCTGTGTGCTCGAGTACAGTAGCCAAGAGGAAATAGGAGATTCTGGGAATCAGTCTTTCTCAGTCCCTCCTGCCCTTTCTTTAGCTTTCTTCTAGCAAATTCAGTGAGAAGTTGCCATGTTTGGGCACCTAATTCTTCCTTTTTATTGTGTATGGTCCAGCGCGGGATTCCCCAGCTGGCAGCTGGCTCCATTTGTGAATCAAACCCTAAACATGCACCCGTTGCATCAAATGCAATTCCTGCTTTTTTTTTCATTTTCACACACAAAGCAAATATCTGCAGTACCTGGACACAGGCTGAAGCACAAGAAATGCAGAAGGAAACTGAAGGAACAGAGTGGGAAAAGGAAAGCACGCTGCACTAGATTGCACTTTCTTTGCAGGTAACTTGGGCGTTATATTACCTTCTCAATACGTTTTTTTTTTCCCCAAGGTTTTGTTTTTGGACAGCCTTGTAAAACTAATTTTCATTTTAAAAATGCAAATAACTTAGGATCAAAAAGTTCCCCTTCTGTGATATACCTCCCTCTGCATCATGGTGCAAAATAGCAGCAGTGACTCCTAGCGGATCCAGCCCCAGCCATCACAGTTGTCTGATGAGCAGTTATACAGGCAGCACAGGATGGGTAACTCAGATCCTGTGCTCCAAATTAGTCTTTTGTTATTTGAGCCTGAGAAGAACATTCGTGAACAGCAGAAAGCTACAGGACTTAGGACTTCCTTGGAGCCAGCGCCTAATGAGAGAAAAGACTGCACAGGCAGGAGCTGCTCAGACCTCTGGCAAGAAGGGAGGAAAGACTGTATTGTCCTGACCCATGCACTAGTATCTTGAGGATGAGAATTAAAATGTAAGTGTAAAATAACAAGGGACAAAGATGAAATTCAATTGAAGTCTTTTCTTTCTCCTGGAGAACTGCTTAGAATAGAGCACTTAACAAAAACCAGCTTTTTGTGAAACTTGTAGTGTCTCCTTGCTTCAGATAGCTTTAAAAAGTCACTAAATTTACTTCCTGCTATTTGACTTTCCATGTGTGTGCCAAACAAAGTTTAGAGTCACGCTGACATCATTAGATTAGGTTTGGGTATTTTTCCCCATCTGAAAATACACTTCAAGATTTGTGCAAAAAATTCAGATTGCCTTTTATCTCCTTAAAATGTACAACATGTCCTTCAGACAATATAACTGTTCAAAGAAGTAATCTCATGGATCTCAGTAACAAATACAAGTTTCTGAAGGACAAGGCTCTAGTTTGCCTGTCTCCCTCTAGAAGAAGCATTTCATAAGTAACTGCCGTTAATGGGAACAAAAATTACCAGTGTGCTTCAGGAGGTAATTGGGGCAGTGCAGCAGAAGACAGAACTAAAGTGGAAACAAGAAAGTCTGTTATGAAGGATATTTGTGCCTCTGCAATGTGCATGCTAATTGATAACCTAATTGCCAACGTTTTGCAGATAGATTTATTGGGGAAAAACAGGAGAGGTATAAGAATCATGGTAAAGCCTTTGGTGACCGCCCCATCGCTCTGATCTGGTTATGCAGAGATGCGTTGTGAAGCCACCTGTTGGTTTAGCATTACTGTCCCAGCACAGCTTTAGGCCTCAAATTTGGCCTTAATTTCTTCTCCTTCTCCCTAGGTTTCTGTAGGTGAAAATCTGGCTATATTAGGACCATTTATGTCTATTTCAGTCATCTTTTCACTTGTTACTGAAAGGAGAGCCTAAGCAACAGCGGAGGCCAAACAGCCAGGCATATGGTACAGGCCGGATATAGGCCTGATTGCTTATGGGGGGCAAATTCATCATTATGCAGAAATTACCTGTAGCACTGAGACCATTCTCACTTGTTTGTGTTTTCATAACTTTTTAACTTGAAAAACATTCAGTGATTAATTATTCTGATGAACGTTCAGACATAGGTTAAACAAAACCATGCTTTGGGTGACGCTGATTGCCAGCCTACAGAAAATCTATGGGTATGGCTCTAATGGCTCCTGCTCTAATTGGATTACTAATGTGCCTTTCCAATCCAACAGACATATTCAATGCCATATTGAAATACAATTAATGTTATGTTACATAATGAATTCAGTTAGGGCTTATTAATATTTGACTTAAAAAAAAAAACTAATGAAGTGTGAACGGCACATTTTACAACTAACAAGCCATTTATTTTTTGTGAATGCTTCCACATTTGAGCTTACATTCTGGTTTTGTGACTATTCATACTAGGAAAAAAGAAGCATTACATTATCTATGGAAAAAGCATGAAAATATGGCCAATTCTACTGAGGTTTGACTCGCAGGATATGCATATTAACATATGCACAGTAAATGGTTCATTAGGCATCATAAATATACTATGTAGCAATGGCACAGAGAACATACCACTTCCAATCTACACGGCCGCAGTCAGAAGGCAGCTACCAAGACAGACGCATGCCTTTTTTCTTACTCTTCTTATTTACTAAATGGTTAACTTCCACCCTTTGATTAGAATATACCTTTAGGCCAGAAAAAGGTGCCATTTCCAGAAGTATTACATAACCAAAAAGAGGTCTAGGGTCAAACCAAAACTCACGTTCTCAGCTCTCAGGAAATGAAATGGTGTGGTTTTCCTTTGAAGGAGTAATGGACATGTAGGATATAGCAAACCTGCAGTCTTCCTATCTATTATATTAATTCTTTCCTTGGGAAAGGAAAGGTACTGTAATTATGGATACAGTTTATAGCGCAGTACCCAGCCGTTTAGCAATGTAGTCTGAGAAAGAAAATATAGACTTCTATCAAGGTATAACAAGAAGGAGGCCTTCTACCATCTGTTGATCCCCTTCCATTTCCAAAGCCTCCAGATATTCACACTTCTGGTGTTTCTGCTGTCTGTATTATGATGATTTCATAACACAGTTGTCCCCAAAGGAACAAAAAGTGTGAGGAACGGGAAAGACTCAAAAGCATTTTACAGTACATCCAGCAAAAACGAAAGACCTGTTTTGCTTTAGATAGATGCATGGGCATTATGCTCGTGTCGTAAAATGATGAGAAAACACCCGTAGCACTCGAGTTGCAGCACAGGCTCATCTACCTCATGTGAAATATTAAGAAAATTATTTAGTAGGGTATGAAGGGCAGAGAGAAAGATCACACGCTTACATTTACTGTCTGTGCTACATTCAAGACGTGAACACTGTCAGGGTCTGATTTGCACATCTGTCACCATGCATACGACTATAAAAGCAGCCACGCTGATATATTACAATGATGGGCATTACTTAGGTGCGCTGTAAGCCGAGATTTCCATACCCAGGTTCCACCGCAGTCCCCGTGCCCCTGTCATGCCTTGACTAGCCAGCTCACAAGCCTAGACCAAGCACCAGGAAACCCTGGGCATGGCGATTTAGGTGGATTTTAAATTGCACAAGTCTTAGTCCATGTATTTTCAGGATTAGGCCCTACAGCAACTGATGCTTTATCAGGTCTTCTAAGAAATACAAATATGATGTTCCCATAATCTCTTTGTACTTCACAGACTGTAAGATTACTTCTTAAAGCCAATGAGCCAATGCAAAATAAATGCTTTTATAATACAGAGTAAATAAATTGAAAAGAATCACTGATACCTCTGACAGCATGCAATTCTAACACCAAGTATTTGCTTGATGGCTATCATTTCCTAGCTTTTATATTATTGAATCAATTATACTCCCTGCAAGTAAAGTATGTCCAGAAAATGTTTGGTTACAGTAACATACGGAGGCTGAACAGGCAATGCAAGGCTTCAGCTTTAATTTTACTGTAAAACGTCAGTATCTGAAAGCAGAACATCTGAAAAAATGTTATTTTATAATGGAGACATTGTTTATTTACAAAAATAAGTAATGCTATCGCTTTCAATATACAGACACGCTCACTTTTAACGCACTAGAATCCTACCTTGTTGTAAACTCCCTGCAAAAATATTAGTTACAAATTTCAAGCCAACTTAGAAAGACTTGAATTATATAAAAATTTATCTGCTCAAAAGTATTTCTGTCTAATTCTAATTTCTTTTTAAAGGGCACACCTTGGTACAAATCTTTACCTGAGCTAGCATTATTATCTCCCATTATGAATATCAGAAGAATGTTACTTCTGCAGTTAGGTTTACTACTTTTCCTACTTCTTTACTTTGCATTTCAATAAGTATGAGTTAAAAAAGGAATGACCAGTTCTGTGCTCGTTTCTAGTTGGTATAGCTTTCTCCTCTGCATACATTGCAGGCTGCTGAAATACTGACTTGACCAGCAAATGTTCCCAGATATGCTTAGGAGAAACCAGGCTCTTTTCTGAATACTTTTTGTTTAAAAAAGTTTAATTTAAAAGAATTTAAATTATGATGTGATTGTTGGAATTAGTAGACTGAAGATATTTTTGGCACCAATAGAAATACTTTACATTAATTCAGTGAATGATACTAGAGACATAGTTTTATATAAAGTCATTACTATTTTATTTGCCATTTTATCTAACGTGTGTAAATTCTTATAAGAAAATTAGAAGGATGTAAAGTCCATTTGGAAAATGCTTTACACCATACATTCATTCCTGTGAAGAGAACTTCTAAAGGGAATAAAATAGAGGACTCTGAACAGCTGTAAACACAATTATATTTACAAACATCCAAAACCTGAATATTTTTACCTGTTTGGCAACTACCAAATAAGGGCATGATAATGCAAGTCCAATGCAGGCGATTAAACTTAAATAATAAAATACCACTTTCCATTAACCACTTCTACAAAGAGATCCGTGTAGAAAGCTGCCGAACCAGGAGTAATTTGCTGACTCGGGATGTACAAATGTATTATTTGTAGACTGGTTCAGCTACTGGAGGTTTAGACTGGGACTTAGGTTATTAAAGCAGCTTGACTAGGTGGCTGTGCCTCAGGGCATGGTTTGCTGTCACCCCAGGCTGCTGCAACTAACTCTACAGCACATCCTCGTCTTCCTCTGCCTCACCTCAAACTCCTGCCCCTGCCCTTACTTCAGGGCTAGCACCTGTGCAGCCACAGGATGAATTAGTTTAAAAGGGTAGCTGATGAAAAAAAAAAAAAACCCACAAAAACCCTTGTTTAGTCAGCTCATTGAACTAGCTTGTTGTGCAGCAGCAGACTTGACAGACCCAGTGCAAGGGGAAGGAGTTCGTGGCCAGAAACAGCAGCAGGATTTCGCAGTGTCGGCATACAGTCACAGCAGAGCAAAGGCAATGTATACCTACAGCCTCCTTCACCCTGTCTCTGAAACGGGAGAAAAGTAACTTGCTACAAGGTCATCATATGAAAAGTAGTTGAGAAGAACGAGATATTTGATATTCATATTTTCCACTCTTTGTGGGAAGAAAACTGATGCAATTATGGGGAATTTTTATTCAAATCGCCAAGACGTAAAGAACTAGTGAAAGGCAAAAGGAAAAAAGAGACTGAAATTTTATTCAGCCATTATTGAGAAACACAGCAAAATACTATAAATGTTGTAGCCTATTCTAGACTGTTTCTGGCCATCCTTGAACTCTGCTTGTTCCAAAAACTGGAACGTTTTGAGACACAGAGCAGTTGTCAGTTCATTTTACATTCAGCCTCTGCACCAGGAAAGCTGTAGTGCTGGGATCTTACTTTGCTAGTAAAATGGATGGAAAGACTTGTTTTGGCTTTCTCTATGATGACAGCACATATAAATATTGCAAGATGAGTCAGCTACCAAGTCTACTTTTATTTGCTAAGAGGTCTTTGGTTATCTTTAACAGTAAAAATGGAAGGATAGCCTTATCATCATTCATCTACAAAGAAGCAACAAAAGAAGTGGTGCTCCAAACACAAAGTAAGGTGCTAAATTATACAGTTGGGCCCAAAACCTCACAAATATGACACAGAATTACAGTACCTTTACTTTTTAATGCTTAAGTGCACTCTGTGGCAAACCAGAACTATTTCTTGAGGGGAGGCCTCTGCTTCTGGCAGCACTGGGGTGGTAAAGACCTACATTTTCTTCTTCTGTACGAAAGCAAAATATATTCGGGGACACATTTGGTCTGAACAAGACCTACCTGAATAGGATGTGCTGGACTGAGGTGAAAGTAGTTTTAAGCACTCCTGTGGTCCAGGACCGTGGATACTGGTCCAGTCCCCAGTACAAAACAGATCTGCCGGAGGGCTTCTGTATTTTGCAGGGAAAAGCTGAACGTCATGGCAACGTGCAGCAGCCTCTTCTGGCCAAGCCTCTCCAGCGGAGGGGCCAGGAGGGAGCGTGGGATTCATCTCATCGCCATCCACTGATTTGAGGCCAGCGAATGTACTGCCAGTAAACTGGTGCAAATCATCAGCAATGTGGTCATATCCCTGGCTTTTTAATGGGCTAAAAACATCATAAAATATAGATATCATTTTCTATTTTAATGATTAAAAAGGGTGTTGCCCGTTATTCACAGCCTACGCACAAGATGTCATGATTTTCAGTATTCCTGTGCTGATCACTCAATCCATTTGACACCTAACCTTCCGCTGCCTTGCTAATTCTGTCACAAGACCTGCCTTGATGATTACCCAAACATGCCTTGTTATCTCTTGATAGTTTTGAGGAAAAAAAACCAAAAAACAAAAAACCCACCCCCAGATTAATATATCAGAAAAGCAATGCAATACTAAATGAATGAAACAGTAATAATCACACATGCAAAAGCTCTGCGCAAAGCTTTCCCTGTCCATATCAGCCAGCTGCTCTCCTGGCATTAAGAGGAGTTCTAGTTCATGAGACCATAAGCTTTATGTTTAGAGTGCTGGACATTGCTCTGTGAACAGCTGCAGCAGCAAAAATGGCATTTTCTGAGAAAGAAGAGTTTCCACTGTGGTTTCTTCATTGTTGGGAAATTTCTCCTCACCAACAGATTGAAATCAGAGGAAGACGGCAAATCTTACACAAGCACATGCTTATTAAGAGAAACCTGTAACAGGTAAATATGGATGCTAGCCAGGGAACATTACAACATCTGAGAAGAATTTCAGCTGATCCTTGATCAGAAAAAACAACAGTTCTCTGGCCAGAAACAGCCCTGGCAGTTCCAGGTATCCAATTATCAATCTCCGTTTCCAAACAAGTGAAACTGGAAACCTGCCCATTTATTAACTTCCCCCTCAACAAGCCATTCACTCGCTCTTAGAAGAACTTCAGAAAAACCTCTCTCATGTGGACCTCATGAGGAATGAAGTCTTATAAAAGCCTCATGCACTGGAAGTCTTTCACCCCTCAGAGCTCAAATTTGAACAATATTCTAACTGCAAAAGTGACATATCTGGCTAATGTAGAGAAGGAGGTGAAAGCTCTCTTAAAACAGTAGTAATTCCCTTTAGGTTGTGGTTTGATGAATCCCAGTAGTCTGCTGAAATCTGGAAAAATACATAGTGGGATATGAAAACGCCTGCCTGCAAGGATGGTACCTAAAGGCTTCAGGGCTGCCCTTCCAACCTGGCCTTTCTGCAGGCACCACTCATTTTTCCAGGGGGAAAAGCAAATGAACTTTCTCCTTCACCTTACTCAGCAGCTGATTTGACTTAACATAATTCTAAAGACATGAATGACACAGAAATTACGTGATTAAGTAGAAAGAGCTGATAGGTTCTAGGAAGCAAGCGCTGCTCTCAGATGCGCTTGTCTGAATCTGGAATAACTTTGATGAATTCCAGATAACAAATACACTAATTAAATAGACATAATTATTTTTAAATGTCTGCTGGAAGTCAAAAAGAGCTGTGTGAATTTCCTAGCACAACTTCAGTTGCATTTGCTGAGTCAAGAGGTGAAATGAAGAAATACCAATTCCTGTAAATCATTGATTAGAAAGTATATATTTTTTTCTTTCAGAGGATGCTTCCTAGCAAAACATTACACTGAAATAAATTTCAGATTTGAAATCTATTTAAATTCATTACATTTTCTAAAATAATTGTGGGTTGACAGGAACTTTGCCTCCAACACGTACAGTAATTGTGACTGCTTTTGACTAATCACTATTTTTGATGTCAACTCAGGATTTTTCCACTATAAAATCTTTGAATGAAGAGGAGTAAAAGCCATACGTATTAAGCTAATTAAATATGGATCACATTTCTACTGGTATGATATATACAGCTTGCAAAGAAAAATCCATATATATTCTAAGATTCACACCCCTTCATTCACAGAAGTAAGTTTAATGGATCTAGGAGGCAGAAACAGATGAGCCACAGATATATTGCAAAGCGATGCAAAGACACTGACAGAAAATGCATCACTGACAGTTAATGAGTAAATAGAAGAACCTGCTGATTATATTCAGTGAACATTCCTGTGTATTTTTAATGATGTGATGTATGGCTTCTCATGAATTCTGTACACCTGAAAGGGTATCAAATTCCAAATGACATTTGGATTGTTGCAGTTAAGCTACTACAGAGATTTTTGAAATAAACAGAAAAGCGTTGCCTGGAACACGCATGCTAGTACTCTTCTTTTCTGAAGGTGAAAAACAGGAGGCGAGAAAGAAGCACCTCCTAGCAAAGGTGGCCTTTTTAAAATATGCTACTTCAGGATAACGTTGCTGACAGGGGCCGTAAGTGGAGATTGCATCGGGCATCGCCCACCCCGTCTCTTGGGTGCCTGTGCCCCCGGAGGGCTCCCCCTGCTCTCACCTCCCATCCCACCGGCTGGCTGTGCCTTAGTCCTCATGCCAACAGCTCCGATTTTAACTGCAATTTATTTTCTTTCTGGGAGAAAAGTTGCCGCATGTGTAAAGCGTGTTCAATCTCCATTGCATGGTTGGGCAAAGCTGGGAGGACGGTAAGTATTACGACATGCGTGTAATATATATAATTGTTGTATGTTAATGATTGCATCTTACTAATGCTTTGCCTTAGAGTAAAATGGAGAACAGATGGAAACTGTTTGCTCTGTTAACCAGCTATCAGGAACACCCAGTATGTCCCACCCCAAGCATTCATTCAAATCAATAGGATCCTTCTGTCTAAGACATTAAGACAAATCCTGAAAATCTTGGTATTGATTAGACAGATGCTCAAAAAAATTGATCACACTACAAACAGAGAAATGTCACCGCGTTGAATACGGAAGCTTGCTACGCTCGCTAGATAATAGGGAACCAAAGTACAAACCATTTCTGTTCACAAAACTCCAGCCAAAACTTGGATTACTGTCCCCACCTCTTCACCTAATGTAAATAAGCCCCAGAGAGAGAGAGAGAGAGAGAGAGAGAGAGATGATATTGCCAGTATGCTCTTTACAGCACCTAGTTTCCCATATTGCAGCCCGGTGCTGGCATTACGAGCGCTGATCTGACAGCTTTGGCCTGCCAAAGCGGAGACGGGAGTACCTTGCTGGCAAAGAGGACGAGGGCTGAAGAGACACCGCCACCAAACGCTACGCCGGGCAAGGCAGCCCCGGGGGGAAGGGGAGCCGCCGGCTGCCACGCACCTCCTTCACCTCCTGCCACACGGCGCCCGACCCTCACGCCGTGCTACCCGCACCCTGAGGATTTGTAGGGGGGTCTCTCACTTTTCAAATTAGTTAAACTTTCCAGCAAGTTTCCATTTCTTCACACTTCCAACCCGGAAGTCTTCCATCACAGAATCTAGGGGAAAAGGACTGCTAATGTGACATATATGCAGCAACTACGTTGTGACATCATCATATTTACAGAAAAACGTGCTTTTTTGTGTGTGTTTGTGTGTGTACTATTATGCTTTGTACACCACCACATTTCAGAGTGACTGCCCTCGCTGAGCTACTAACGTTACT